TATCCATTTAATATTTACCTAACTAACTGCATCACAAGTTAAGCCATGTATTATTGTTAAATTGTCAAATTCAAAACCTTATAAAAAGGCAACAGATGACCTTATTTATTAGCAAGTGTGACTTTACTTGTTTTTATTGGGCTAATAAGTAACTTGTTAAGTCTTTACTTGTAATTTGTTATGTTGATAAAAAAATTTTAAGTCACGCATGCGTATTTTAGTTCTCATATTGCAATTACGAACAATCGAACTCGTAATATAGACGTTGAATTAACGTGGAATTAACGTCGATTTTATTTGATAGTTTTAAACAAATTTTTCAAAGTTGATACAACGTTGATTTTTGGTTATACGACGTCGCGACTAAAAATCAACTGTAAATCAACGTCGAAATAACGTCGTGTGCCCACTGGGGAGTGTTGTGTTATTCTTGTTGATTTATTTATTATAGGCATCATTCCAAACTCATTTAAGCTATCGTAAAATTGTTGTACTTTATTATTTTCACCATATTTTAAATAGTCGACGTTATAATCTCCAAGAAATAAAAATGAGTGGTCTTTATTATTTTTGCATGCTGTTTCAAAATAATCACTTAATTGATTTTGAAAGTTATTTAAACATCCGTTTGGTGGTCGGTATGTAGTTGTCACAATAATATTTTTAGATGACTTATTGACAATTAGAAATCTGTAAAATATTAAATTTAGCTTATAGACTCCTTAGAAGAAAAAAAACAAAACAATTTTGTTATATTTAAGGTCTTAATTATATGATAATTTAGTTATTTGAACTTAACAACTGAAAAAAACATCCTGTTTTTACTTTCGAAAACTGTTTGCTCAGTAGAAAATAAAGAATGCATGTTTGCACAGTAAGATAATTGTCCTGGTAAAAAACCCCTCACCAAAAATTTGTATTCGATTTTTGAAGAATACGAAAATGATTTTGAGATACACTACAAGCAATGGCAAACTACTGATTGTGCAATACTATTGAGTTTAACAGCAGATGTTCCAACGTTTGTTGAACTATTGCTTTATTGCTTATCTTGCTTTGAAAAGCAACAAACTCTTTCTTTTATTGCTCACTCTCAATCACAGCACCTTAACGAACTAAAACAAAATATGGATCAATCAAACATTATCATTATTAGCAACTTTGCTGAAAATTATGTTTTTATACTCCAAGTTGAAATACAAAGCTATTATTGGAACACCCAACAATGTTTTTTACATCCATTAGTGATATACTTACTATAAAGATGATAAAGGTGTACTAAAACATGTTTGTTACTGTTTAATATAAGACAACATCACACATAATTTAACTTATGTGTACAAAATATTCCAACTAATCATACCAATATTAAAAACAAAAATTTCCAATCTGTCCAAATTACATTTATTCACTGATGGTTGCGCAAGACAGTAAAAAAATTGTAAAAGCTTTAACAATCTATGCCAAATAGAGAAAGAATTAGCCCTTAAAGTTGAACGGAACTTTTTTGCGACGTCTCAGGGAAAGTCACCATGCGATGGGATTGGTGGTACCGTAAAAAGGTTTACAGCGCAAGAAAGTTTAAAAAGACCACACAGAAACCAAATTCTCTCATAAGAAACTATGTATGAATTTTGTATTGAGAAAATCAATGTCGTTAACTAGCAGCGTAAAGAGCCAAAAGAAAGGTACACTGGTGTAACAACCTGGTACTTGTTATACTGGTATACTCTACCTGGTACTCGCTACACTGGTATAACAACTCTACCTGGTACTCGTTACACTGGTGTAACAACTCTTCCTGGAACTCGTAGCTTTCATCAATTTATACATCTTGGAGATAACAGGGTTGGGGCAAAGAGGTGTAGTACAGAAACTAATTATATAATAACCCACAATCTTAAAGAAAATAAGATATATTTCAACTTGATACTGTCACTTTAGGAGGTTATGTAGCTGTAGTCTATGATGATAAGTGGTGCTCTATAAACTTGCTCTAGTTCCGGTAGAACCTATGTGTTTGAAATAGAAGAACTACAATAGAAGAACTGAAATAGAAGAAGTACAAGTAAAATGGTTGCAATATTGTGAAATATTACAAACACAGTCAAAATAACTTACATCTTCGATACTTTTAAAAATCTTGTATATTTAAGTAACTTATTTTTATTTTATTTACAAATATTTTTGTGGAATTTCTAGAAAAAGTGATAGATTGAAATTAAAGTTCTATATGTTTCAGTTGCTTTTCCAGTTATTTTTGTTTGTGCCTAGTAAAATTATTAGCAGCTGAAAATATAAACAGCAAAAAATAAATTTTTTTAAATGGGGTTGTTTTGAGAAAATGGGCACAAAGTTGGTTTATAGAAACTAGTTGTTTTATTAAATTTTAAGCATGTTCCTTTCAGCATTTCAGCATTTTAGTTCCTTTCAGCATTTCAGCATTTTAAATATGTTTATTGAATTCAGCATCAAAAAACCATTATATATGTTTACTTTCATATTTTTGCCACTTTTATTTCTTATTTTTTTACGAAAAATGTTTTCTCAGGATGTTATGAAACATTTAGGGAAACCAGGTCAATATTAAAATTGCAGTATCTTGTTAACCACATTTTTAGCTAAAATTTTGCATGCAATATTTTTTTATAATTAGGAATAATGTGTCGAAAAATAACACAAAAAGAAGACACATGGTTTAATGAACTGGGTGACTTGATGTAGAATTACCCAATTAATAGGCTGCATTCAATCCCCAATATTGCAAAAAGGTATTCAAGGACATCCATGAATACCTATATATAGACATATACATCAACAGGGATGTACAAAAGATATAAGTATACTCACATATATATATATATATATATATATATATATATATATATATATATATATATATATATATATATATATATATATATATATAATTGCTGTAAAAATAACAAAAATAAATTACACTACGTTACAGTACATGCAAGTAAAAATAAAGACAACTTATAAATATGTTCAAAAAACATTAAAATTCGTTTTCCAACATTAAAATTCGTTATGTAAAAAACATTAAAATTCGTTATGTAAATACGTATTTACATAAAGTTTATGTAGCATATTAAAATAAGCTTCCCGTAAAAAAAAATATATGTATATATATACACACAAAAATTGAGATTCGTCTAAGTTTTAAAAGTATATAAGTATATTTTCAGTGGAAAAAATGAATTTTTTAAGATTTTGTCTAAAAGAATCAAATTTAGGTTCTTGAGAAATGTCTATAGTAGTATTAAAAATTATATTACTCCTTGAAAATGGTCCGCGAAATGAAATGAAAAATTAGTTTGAGAAAATGGTTGTCGAATTAAATTTTCATTCCTTAAAATATATTTATTATTTATTTATTTATTTCGTCATGTATAAGCATTTTAGGGAATTTACAGGAGCAAGTAGAAGACATAAGTCTTGTCGTCAAGCCCCTACAATTTGCGTGATATATTTTTTACAAAGTATCCATATTATATAAAATATAATAATTTACAATCACTATATAAAGCAAGTTGAAATAACAATAATAAAATAAAATTTGCTAAATAAAATAAATAAAGTAAAGAAATTTAAAATATTAACTTTACAAGTTTTTTCAACAAAAAAATAAATAATCATTTTATATAGCAAGTTAAAAATAGCTATACTATAATAAGACTTCTAAAGTAAAATATAGAAATAAAATATATATAATAATTATTTACACTTTTTTTGTGTGTCATTATCTCATTATATACAAATGCTCATTATATAAAGCAAATAAATATAAACTTTATTGTAATAAGATAAAAATACTTCAAAAGTAAAGTAAAAAGCAAAAAAAAAAAAAAAAAAAAAAAAAAAAAAACAGAAAGAAAAAAAAATAAGTAACGTAAAAAAAAAATTAAATTTTTAACTTTTTAACTACATTTTTAAAAGATTGTATTAAGGTTATGCTTTTCATTTTGTCGTCAAGAATTCTGTTTCATAGACGAGGTCCTCTATATGAAATTGAGTAATCTGTTTTTTTTAATGTTGACTTAGGTAAGTTAAAATTGTGAATAGAGCACCTCGTTAAGTATTTATGAAAAATAATTGAAAAATGATTGTTAAAGAATTTAGGAAGCATGTCATTTTGATATTTAAACATAAATAATAGATTTTGGTACAAATTTAACTCATAGACGTTTAAAGCTTTGATTTCACGGAGTAACGGTTTGGCGTGGGCACATTTATGCATATTACATATAACTCTACTGGCTTGTTTTTGTTTTATATATATTTTCTTTAATGCTGATGAACAAGTACTGGCCCAAGCAATGTTACAGTAGCTAATGTAACTATGAATAAAAGAGTAGTATATATCTTTTAAGTATTTTTTACTTAGTAGGTGGTTTGTTTTATACATAATGCCTATTGTTTTAGAAATTTTGTTTTCAACGAGCGTAATATGACTTTTCCAATTAAGATGTTCATCAAATATTACTCCCAGGATTTTCATTGACACGACTCTTTTTACAATAATTCTGTTTATGACTAACTGAGGAAGTTGAAGAGGCAAACTATCTGACTTAGATGGCTTATGAAATAAAACATATTTAGTTTCCCAGCAAACATGTCAGCGTTGAATCAACGTTGAAAACCGGTCGCAAAAGATGTTGCGGAAACGTTGACAAAGTAATCGATTTTGCAAAGATATGTAACGTTGTTAAAGAGACGTTGATTAAACGTTGTAGCGTAACGTTGAAAAATCGTTACTAAAAGACGTTACAAAAATGTCGCAACTAAACGTTGAAAAAGCGTTACTTAAAAAGCGTTGCATAGGCGTCGCAACTTAACGATGAAAAATTTTTACTTGAAAAGCGTTACTTTAATGTTGTTAAAGCAGTTGATTTTGCAAGGATTTGTTTTACAACGTTGGTAGTAAAACGTCGATTTAACGTGACTCAAAGACGTCGAGTAAAGGTTGAAATATAACGTTAAATCCTAAAACATCCTAAAGTATATTTTTTAAATTTAAAATTCATGTTATATTTTGTATATATATGCATATATGAACATCATTGTGATCAACACGATCATCATAACCATCATAACCATCATCATCATCATCATCATCATCATCATCATCATCATCATCATCATCATCATCATCATCATCATCATAATCATCATCATCATCATAATCATCATGATCATCATGATCATCATTATCATCAACAGCATAAAAACGGAAAGCTTGACAATGATAATAAAAATTATGTTGATGTTGTTGACCCTCATCATGATAATCATCATCATCTTTATTATGGCACTATATAAAATGTGGTAATTAAAAGACGTTGAAAAAGTGTTACTTTGCCAACGTTAATAAAACGTTGTTTTGACAATGTTGAGGAAGTGGCATATTAAAAATTATTGTCTCAATTACTAGCCATTACAAAAATAATTTGCCGTAATGGAAAGGCAAGGAAAACTTGATAGAATGCATGCGTATGGTATAAAAATTTTTTTAATAAAGTTATATTTTATAGCCTATTTTATTGCGACTAATTTAAAACTTTTAGATTTTATATCAAAATGTATATAAAGTACATAAATCTCAGAGTAAATTCTATTTATTCAGCTTATTTTTGTCAATGTTTTATTTTGTTTTAAGTTGACGATTTTAATAAAATGCTCAACTTTTTTAAATATTTATTTCTTTAAGAAATAAATATTTAAAAATCTTTAAGAAATATAATATATATATATATAATATAATATAATATAAAAATAATATAAATAATATAAAAATAATATAAAAATATAATATAAAAATTTAAAAAAGTTGAGCATTTTATTAAAATCGTCAACTTAAAACAAAATAAAACATTGACAAAAATAAGCTGAATAAATAGAATTTACCCTGAGATTTATGTACTTTATATACATTTTGATATAAAATCTAAAAGTTTTAAATTAGTCGCAATAAAATAGGCTATAAAATATAACTTTATTAAAAAATTTTTTTATACCATATGCATGCATTCTATCAAGTTTTCCTTGCCTTTCCATTACGGCAAATTATTTTTGTAATGGCTAGTTATTGAGACAATAATTTTTAATGTGCCAATATTATATAGTCTGGTATACACAATACGCTCGAGCACTTTTGAAAAACAGGAAAGAATGGATATTGGTCTATAATAAGGTGATAAAGAATCATCACCATTTTTGTAAAGAGGGACAATTCGTGCAACTTTTAATCGACAAGGGAAAATACCAGTTGCTAATGACAAATTAGAAATAAAAAGAAGAGGTAATTCAATAATATCATAAACAGCTTTCAGAACATTGACATTTATATCGTCAAATCCTACACTCTTATTTATTTTTAATTCATTAAAAGATGCTCTAAGTTCATTTACAGACAATTCATTTACAGAATGAGCTGTTTTTAAATATGACTGGAATGTTGTTTTTCCAGGAATTATATCAGCAGCTAAATTTTTTCCGATGTTTATAAAGAACTTGTTGAGATTTTCAGCAATTTCTTTCTCATCAAATATTTCTTTGTTCATATTGATTTTTAATCTCTTTGGAAGTGTGGTGTTTTTTTCTAATTTTGATTTTCCTGTTACTTCTTTAATTACTTCCCATGTTTTTCTACTATTTTTTATGGAATTTTCTAAAAGATTAGGATAATAATTTTTTTTTAATTTGTTTTTTTAATCTTTCAAAATAGTTTTTATATTTTTTGTAATTTATTTCATTGGTATAAGTTTTATTTTTTTAAAATTTCACATAAAACTTTTGTTTTTTTTCTGGATGATTTTTTGAGATAATTTGTCATCCATGGGTTAATAAATTTTTTTTTGAGTTTGTGTTTTTTTTAATTTTTGGAAAGGATCTTTCATAATTTTTAGAGAACAATCGTATAAATAAGTTAAATGCATCATTTGCATCCTTGCATTTGGTTAAAAGATCCCAATCAATTGTTGTCAATAATTGACGAAATTTTATGATAGATTGGTTATTTATGTGTCTTACGTATTTTACAAGAGGACTGTTGGCTTCAGGAATTAATGAGTAATTTATGAGAAAAGTTGGAAAGTGATCACTAATATCGGTTTTTAAAATTCCACTTTCGACTTTACAAGTTATGTAATTATTAGTAATAATGTTATCAATTACTGAAGAAGTATTGCGAGTTACGCGCGTTGGTTTGTTTATTACAGGTATTACGCCATTCTGAAGGAGAGTGTTTAAAAACCGTTTAGCGTAGGAATCATTAGTAACTTTTAGAATATCTATGTTAAAATCACCAGTTAAATAAATGTGCTTTTTAATGACTATTGGTAACAAATTTTTTAAATGTTTTTCGAATGTGTGTCAAAATTACCATTAGGTGGTCTGTAAAGAGCAGTTATAAAAATACTTTTGGTTTTTTGTTTTATTATTTCAATCGTTAATGACTCGCAATTCGCGTCATTAACATTGAGGTTTTCCGAATTTCTAAAAGTTAAAGAATTAAGAATAAATATACATACGCCCCCACCAATGCCGTTTTTCCTGGTTTGGTGTATTGAATTATAGCCGTATAGAAAATAATTAGAGTTCGACTCATCTCCTTTTTGACACCATGTTTCTGTTAGACAGATTACACTAAAATTAAAGTTTAAGTTTTTTAAAAGAATTTTTAGGTTTTCAAAGTTTTTTCTTATGCTCCTGATATTCAAAATTAATACTGAAAAATAAGATAAAGAAGATTTTACATAAATTGAAGCTTCGCTTATTTATTTATATCTCTTTGCAAATACAAGTCGCGGAAAGAAACGGGCGATAAGTTGTTTTTCCATTTATACAAAAAACAAAGAATATTAAAAACATTTAGCTCGTATATATTGAGAGCTTTCATTCCATATAAAACAGGCTTTGCATGTTCAAAACGATCATTGAAATTTATAAGGCGTGCAAAATGCTTCTGTTCCCGTTAGAGAGGTTCAAGATTTACTTTTATTTGTACACCCCGTGCAATCTTTGCAGAGTTAATGCGACAATCAATTAAAGAGTAATATAATTGAGTTAAAGTTTGTTAAGAACGGCTTCTTGTTTTGTATAAAATACCTATACTCTTTGAAATTTTACCGCACAAGTTAGCAATGTGGTTTTTTCATGTTAAATTTTCGTCGATATCTAAAAATTTTTTCACTAAGACTCTTTCAATTATTATATCATACGTATAAAGAAAAGGCAAATTACTAGGCAGCAGGTGTTTTTTACCGCTTGGATGGAAAATAATCTATTTTCTTTTATCAATATTTAATGACATTCAATTTAAACTATTCGGAAACTTTTACTAGTTCAATGTTTATGTTGTTAAAAATTGTTATAATTTTATTATGAGAAAGAAATAAGTTGGAATCATTAGCAAAAATAATTGTTATTAGGTTAGATTTAGATTTAACATTAATGTACAATAAAAATAAGAGAGATCCTAAAATGGATCCTTGAGGAATTCCACATTTAACAAATCGGGTAAAATACTCTCGTCTGAATAAACAAACTGCTTTCTATTAATTAGGTAGCTTTTTAGCCAAATTATAATATTCTCAGTGATTTTGTACCATTCTAACTTTTTAAATTGAGTTTCGTGATCAATAGTAGCAAAAGATTTTTGCCAAACCAATAAAATTAACCCAAAGTAAATTGATTTTTTTCAAATGCAGCAGAAATATTTTAGTAAATTGAAGAATTGCATGTTCAGTAAAGTTCTTTTTTCGGAATCCATATTGATTGCTGTATAATAAATTGTTAATAGTAAGATGATTATAAATTTTGCTGTACAAAATTCTTTCTAAAACTTTAGACAATACATAAAGTATTGAAATCGGATGATAGTAAACTAATGTTTTCAATGTCACCACCTTTTAATATTGGTATTACTTTTGCTAATTTTAGAGCTCGTGGAAAAATTCCATGTTTAACTGAAATTGAAAAAACCTTAAAGAGTATATATTTTATAACATTAAATGAACTTATAATATTAAAGTTGATGCTTTCCGTATCTCCTTTCAAACCTTGCCGATTGTATAGTGGGCCAGACTGTATCAAAAGTCAAAAATGTTCCTAAAAAGATTTTTCTTAAATAAAGTTACGAACTTTTTTATTTTTTTTATATAAAAATTAATGTGCAAGCCTCAAACAAAAATGCAATTTTCGGTTTTACATAGCAGTTGTTTTAGAAAGAAACACAATAACACATATTTACGTAAATTTCTAACATATATATAATATTTTGTTTAACAATACTCTTAATAATCTACTCAAACAATATTACCAATAAATAATATACTCTTATAGTATCACAATATATATTACTAATACATATATCACAATATATATTACTAATAAATATTATACTCAAACTATATATATTGGAATAATTATTATTCTTAACAATTTACTCAAACAATAAGTTTGTGCAATATCTTTCTTTTTTTTTCATTTTTAATTTAATTAAATAAGATAAAATTTTTTAGTTAAATCAATTAAAAATAAGTTTATTTAACATTATTAAAGAATTATACCTATAATCTAGTAGTTAACTACTGGATTCCACTAATATTTCATAACTAGTTATAACCTATCAGTAGAAATAAAAAACAAATATGAACCTAGTAGTTATCCAATTTAAAAATTTCAAAACAACTTTCTAATAATTATTTTAAATGTGAAAAACTAAAATAATTTTAATCATTTTTTATGTATATTTCGTTTATTTACTTATTTTAAATTTTAGTTTTACAATAAATTAATTGTTTGTTATTGTTTTTTGTACAAATTTATGTACCTTTTAGTTCTTAACTACCCAATGCTGTGTGCTAGAAGGTTAATAACACAACTGTATGGTAGGCAGCTGAATGTCTTTTTAAAATAAACTATTATAAATTAGTTTTTCAAATAGATATCACAAATTTACAAATGCTGCATGAACTATTAGCTGAGCTCTGTGAGTACACACAACTCAGGGGTTCCTTCTAGAATTTTTTTTATATACAATTATTTAATTTTTTATTTGGTTGTACTTTACTAAAATCACTAAACATATATATATATATATATATATATTCCTTTTTAGCTACATATTTGGCAATATATGAGATCGAAGCTTTTTTGTATTTAGATAGAATTCTGCATATTCGTGGTCACTATTAGTTGGTTTTCTCTTTAACAAATCAAATTTTTTTGTTAATTTAATTTTAGTCAGATATTTTAGTACTGGAGTGAGCAAAAGAATTGTCTAAAATATTTGAAATATGATTTTTATCTCTGATGCTGCAGTTTCCATTTGAAAATTAAACCCTAATTTACACCAAGAGTTGTTTAATGTGGCTGTAAACTGTTGCCAATTGATATTGTTGTTAAACATTCTTGCAGATCTCACAGCACAATAAAGAACTTGTTAGATGGTTTTGACGAGCTTATATGTTAAATAATTTTATGGCGAACCTTCTTTTTCTACTCAGACAAGATATATATTTTAATTGCCAATGAAACCAATATTAAGACTTGACAAATTTATTTGCGTAGGAGTTAATCTCCTTAAGAGTAATGATATAATTATATACCATGTCAAGAAATGGAAAACAAAGAGTATTGCTGCAAAGAGGTTTTGTGAATTTAATATGTGATGTAATCAATCTTTTATTCAAATAAACTCAACGACATTTATATAATTATTTAACTGCAACATACAGTTTAATAATATAAAAAAGTCAGCTTTTATATAAACTATAACATATAGCCATAATACTTAACAGCATGTAAACAGTATATATAACTTTAGTTAATGAGATATTTCAAAGAGGTGTTTTGAATATTTCTATATTCAAAATTTAATAAATTTGTTTTTTAAAAAAAATGTTTGTTTGAGGATGTATGTAAAACTTGTTACATACATCCTCAATTCTATTGAGTGATTATCCTTTAAATTATAAGAAATGATTATTTACTTTTTATTTTTTTTAAAAGTTGATATAAATAACTATAATTCACACTTTTTTTTTTTAAACAGCTCAAGTGACACCTTAGAATGTTTTATTCAAATAATTTATGCAATAATAGAATTATAATATAATTCTAGAAGGAACCCCTGAGTTTGTATACAAAATGGTATCTTGCTAAAAAAAATAGAGAATATAAGTTGTAGGTAGAGATGATTGCTGCTTACCATGCTGTTATGTTATTAACCTTCTAGCATACAGCATTAGGTAACTAAGAACTAAAAGGTACATAAATTATATACAAAATTTAACTAAAATTGTAAATGCCATTATTTTTTTTTTTGAATAAATTGAATTATTCAAAAAATATTTTTTTTTTTCTCTAATATTTATAAAATTCATTTTTCTTTTTATTTTGACAAATTTATTAGCCTTATTTAATTATTTTCTATCGTAGTTTGATAAAGCCATATAAAATCTATATTGGTTTCACCGCTAGGAACTTTAATCGCCGCCATCTTGGGAGGCCAATTATGGCTTCAACTTTTTTCGGAAAAAATAATAGAATCCGCTATCCAGTTATATTTTGAGATCAGTGGCCAAAACTAATAAAAATTTAATAAAAAGATCAACTTTATTTCTTCACACATTTAAAATTAATTTTACATGAGACATTTTTAAATATATTTAAAGTTTATTATTTTCTTTCAAATTTGGAAATAACTAAAGTTACAGTTGTAACTTTAGTTTTGGTTGCTTAGGTTTAAAAATTATTACTTATTTTTATTCACTTTATATTGTTGTCATTTTTTTTTAGCTGTATAGTAAATATTGACAATTATACAAATGTATTAGAAGTAATAAATTCTCGATGTACTTTGAGTATTGTGTTCAGTGCTGTCAAAATAAATATGATTTGTTTATATTTCCACTTCCAATACAAATTTAATACTCCGTTACGACTCTGCAAAAATAATTTTTTTTTAGTTGCATTGACTAGTAGACTAAAGACGCATTAAATACAGCTTTTTTTTATATTTTTAATACAGCTTTACAACAACCACATTAAAAGATGAAAAGGGAAAGCAAGAAAATAAATCTCATCAACGCGATAGCTGGTTTGGTATTTTAGTGAAATATAAAAAGAATATGGTAAAATGTCTTACTTGACAATTGCTTGCGTTATTTTGACTGTGTAGGCGATAATAAAAAAATAAAAAATAATTATAATTTGTCAAAAATAAAAACTTTGTGTATACTATATATATATTTATATAATTTTCAGCAATACTTTCCTAACGAAATCCTAGCTGCTACATTAGTAAGACATAGCTGCTACATTAGTAAGAACAATTATAATATAAAAATCTACTTTAATTGATGATAAAACTTTCAGCATATTGCAGGAAAGATTTAGATTATCGTAGAGTTTATTAAACTCAAAACCTTTTACATTATTTGGGCACACACAAAAAAAAGTTTTGCAGATTAATAAACTTCGCATATAACAACTGTAAGCATTTATATATATATATATATATATATATATATATATATATATATATATATATATATATATATATATATATATATAAAATGCTTACAGTTGACGATCTTTACAAAAATCATTCAATGTAATCATTCAATGTAAATTATTTACTAAAATTTATAGTATTTGTAAAATTAAGATATGTTTATAATATATAATGGTATATTAAAGTATTTATTTTGCCTAATTGTGCAAACAGTATGTTTTTATAAATTTGATCCCACATAATTATTTACCAATTTTTAAATTTAATTATTTCAAATTTTCTTGAACAGTTTATCCCCAAATTATGAAATACAATTAAATATTGTTTATACTTAATATTAGTATAATATAGAAATATTTTTCAAAGTAGAAATATTAGGATTTCGAAAGTTAATTTAACGTCTGATGACGACTGCGTAAATTTTAAATTCTTGGGTATAAAAATTATCAATTTTCTAATTTTTTTTTTTTTTATATAGCAAATTTAAGTATTTATACAATTACAAAAACATATAAAGAATTTTTAATTTTGTAAATTACGAATGGTTAATTATAAAAAATGTTGAATACGATGTTTCTTAGATAAAGTTAATTTCAACACATTTTATAATAATGGCGGTTTGTAACACTAAAGTCAAATTTTCGTTTTATGGCGGTGGTGACACTAACATATGTTTAGTTTTTGGCGTGTAATAACTCGGACCATTTTCCTAAAAGTAAAAAGTAAAAAAATACATATACACTCATAAACTGACATAATTCTATTTTACATAGAATTTATAGTGTGGGGATGAGGTAGTGTCGTGGTTTTTAAGTAGAAAAACTTTTTTAATAACTATAAATAATAATAATTTTAAATAAATGTAAAAAACTTGTCAAATTAAAAAAGTTGTCAAATCATACTATCTAACGGAGCAAAGAATTACAAAAGCACAAAACTAAAAAAGTATTTAAAATTTTTGGATTTTAAAATTATATATACAAAAATGTCCAATTCTAAACGCTGTCTAATTTGCAACGATTAAACTCTATATTAAAGCTAATTAAAAAACAACAACAAAAGTTAGGAACTTTTATGTTTAATGTAAATTTTCAGATAAAAATAATAGATTAAAAAAAAAAAAGTTCGAAAGATAAATAAAATTATAAATCTAACAAATTTGTTGAGATTTCGCTAATTTTCTGGTCCACACTTTGAACGTTGTAAAAACTAACGTAGTTACAAATAACATGTTCATCAGGTAAATAACTTTTTAGAATTTAGATAACATTAAAG